GCTTTACCGTGCCCTATGTATACAAAATGCAGCGATTCGTCGCAGCGCTACAGTTGCATCTACGCATCTCGCATCTTGACGGCTGTCGGAATTTAGCACACGGCACTTCATTCTATTAGTTTTTACGCCGTCTTCAACTCAAAAACCACTCACAAATTGCAAATTAACACAATTTAAACTGATTTTTCACTTATAATTAAAATTCTCTTTGTCGCTGATTTGTAAACAAAGGTTTATTTACAAGTTACCACAACTGTCAAAATCGGCAAAACCAAAGTAGCGGTACCACTGACGGCGCCACCTTTGTTCGCTGCACCGTGGCCATAATTAATATTTACTGAGGCAAACGTCAAATAAAAAGGAATGTAAAACCAAAAGCTTTTTCGCCCCATATGAGCATTGCCAGCAAAGAGTTTTGCCAACTGGTATAATGCACCAGAAGAAAGAAAAGGGATGGGTGTATCTTTTTGTAGAATCACTAATACAAGCAAAAAGTGCTTGAAATGTATTGGGTAGTTCCAGTGTACGGTAAATGGCGGAAACCGAGAATATAAAAGGAGCTGTTTGCTACGGGATTGCCCAAAACGCTATTCAACGGCAGAACGTGCCAGAGCCGCATTCCTCGGCGTTTGCTTCTTTTTGGCTGTGTCGCGATAGTTAAAACCGCGTGTGGTGGACAATTCGCGAAGTGCCGGAAAGTTTTTTTTTGTAAAAGTCCGCGCGAAAGTTCTTAAATTCGGTGGAGTCAACGATAAAGACCACCGGGAAGGGCCGCAGGGGGTTATCTTGACCCAAAGAACCCTCAGACAGCGTAAAGTGTGCGAAGTCCACGAGAAAGTGACGTGGGAACAGGTGTATAGGATAGGAGCTGTTTAAGTAAACACGAGTCCCGGAGGTACCCGTGTAGGCGTTTTTCCAATTTTTGCTGATAGCCGTCAAAAGTGTAAGTTTGTTAGTTTCCTTTGTGTAGATTTAAATTGGACCCTAAGTTCCATTTAATTATAGTGTGCCGGATGTTAGGAGTGCGGCGAAAATATTTAGTCTCC